CTCACGAGGCCCTGCTCCCAGTCCTGCACAGATCATGACAGGGTGTGATCAGTAATAGGATCCAAACCACATGTTACCAATTTGCCAACAAGATTATTATGTGGAACCTTATCAAAAGCCTTCCTATGATCCTGTTTTAATTTGATGCCTCTAATATGGTTACGTTATTATTTTCATTATTTTTAATCTTCCCAGAAATTAGATTTTTCTGGTGCTTTTTAAAATCTTATTTTGGTTTAATTTGCATAATTTATTGTTGACAGCTACTTAAAATGAATCAGAAAAGCAGAACAGAATTTTAATTAATCCCATGTATAAGGTACAGCGGAAGAGAATTAACCCAGAAAATGGCATAAAACCACAGGTAAATTGTTATTGAGTAGACAATACAGAGACTGTGGAGGAAGGGCAACAGAAATATATACAATAAGATTGTCAAGGGATATAAAAAGCAAAGGAAAAAAAATTACAAGATAGCACAGGTAAGCAGTGAAAAAACAAAGGAGTGACGTGATTTAAATGGTGAGTAAAATAAATTAGCTGGCTGAATAGCTGAGGAAAGGGTTATAGTCAGTCAGAAACTAACAGTAACGCATGCAGGACAGCATGATTACTTGGATTAGCACTTTAGTTGTCAACTAAAAAAATTAGCAAAGCAATATTTTGAAGAGAAAAGAAAACTTGAGTGAAAAGGAAAGAAGACTAAAACATATCTAAGGTATGCGTTTGCTGGGAAGAATGGGAAAAAAAGGATTTCTGAAGGAGAAACAAATATTTGGAAGGGATGTTTTCTATATGTTAACTTTAAACTGGCAAGTGTTCAAGTAAAGGAGGCAATGGATTCACATTAGTAGAAACACAGTATCATATGCAAACTGCAAGCAATACACATGAAACTCTGAAGGCAGAAAGACACATTTAAAAGTTCAGAAGCTTACAGCAACCTACACCACTAGGGTTTAAAAAAAATTTTACTCCATGGGCAACTACTTTGCCATTAACTTCCAAAGAATTTTGTGCTGAACATCTGCCAGTAATATGCTATGCTAGAAGGAAGAATAATCTATGTGTGAAAAGAAATAGCTTTATATAATCGGAGATGTTCACAGAAATTTTTTTCCCAGATGGCAGCACGTGTGTGAATAGCATAGTGGTTAGCATGTCAGACAAGGAGTTGGGAGGCTGTCACTCTGCCATGGAAGCTTACTGGGTGACTTTGGGCCAGTCGTACACACTCAGTACTGCATAGGGTTGTTGCAGAGTTCATAAAATCAGAGTTGGAAGGGACCTCCAGGACCATCTAGTCCAACCCCCTGCACAATACAGGAAATTCACAAATACCCACACACACACAGCCCAGTGCCTCCTGTTCCATGCCCAGAAGATGACAAAAAAACCTCCAGGATCACCTGCCAAACTGGCCTGGAGAAAAATTGCTTCCTGCCCCCTGATAAAATAGAACCATGTAGGCCACTTAGAAAGGCAGGCTATAAAAAAAGTTCATCAACAATTGGTTGATCATAGTCATGAAATAATATTTTGTCAAGGCCTAACAGAACTTTTGATACTAGATTCTAAAACATGTAATTACAGCTGCTTTTCCCATCCTGTTTGAAAGGATTTTTTTTCTCCTTTACGGAACAAACATTTAGCAACTGGAAGTTGCGGTTTGGCCAGTTGTGTGGACCTTCGGACTGTGGTACAGGAGTTTCTAGGCTCCCAAGTACAATGTACTCAGGACTGCATGCTTGTACTGTGGTTCTTCTCAGTGATCTTTCTAATATTATTCTACCATTTCCAGCATTGAATTGGCGCACCATCACTTTGTTAAAGATTCCTAAAACCAAGCATACTAGTATAACTTCAGGTCTGGACATTTATTTAAGATAGCTGGGAAATCCAGTTCCTGAATCTGGCAACTCTTAGTATTCTAAATTATTTACTAGCAATTTTTTACCACTGAATAAAATAAAATTTGCTTCAAAAATTGCAATCCACTCTTGAACATGAAGCCCAAAGATAACTGTAATATTTAATGCTCAAAGAGTACCTGAGCATGTGTCCTATAACTGACATTTTACTGATAGATGGGGCATTCTACAATGAGCTTTGTCACCTGTTAATGGGTTAATTTGAAGCTCAATATACACTTCTAATCCCTGAACTACTGTAGAGAAAGAGATAAGGCTCAAGAAGACATACATCCATTTCCTGTACTCTAGCTTCGTTTTGTTTATGGCTGGAAAGGAATCTCCAATCTTCATCACTCCTAGTCAGATGCAGATGCTCATAGAGTTGTTTTCCACCCCACATATAGCTTAGGTTGCTCCCATCACCTAGAATAGCACAGTGCACTGGTACCCTTGATTACTGCACTGTTGTATTCCCACTCTGGACTTGTAGTAAATGATAGGACTGACCTTTAATGGGCTTGTATAGAAATATTGCTTTCTAAAAGTCTCATGCCTTCTCCTGTGATGTCTTTCTGATAACAGGCTGTGCCTTATTTCCTGTTGCAAGCCAAATGGTGGGCCAGATGGCCTGAACAACTTTATAACCCACATTCTTCACACTTTCATGCCAAACGCCAGACCTCATGGCTCCACTTTCTGGCCCACATGCGACTAGTCACATAGACCATGAAGTAGCTGGAGTTTGGGGTCAGATGACTGCAGGAGGGGTCCCAAACTTATAGCCTATCCCCACACGCAGCTATGGCAACCAATAATTGGGCACACCCATGCCCACTCACAATTGGCTGATGACCACATCTAATTTGTGACTGGAATTGGAGTATGTTTTGATCCCTATGGGAGTGAGCTCTTGCTCTCTTAGCTCTCTCCCTTCCTCCTCTTGTCAGAGTCTGTTTTATGACACCTGAAATGCTGCCTCTTGAGAGACAAGAGTTGCTTTGTGACTTGGAGCACATGGCTGTGCAAAAATGGGATTTCCCTTCAAAATCCCTTGGTACTGGGACTATCTTAGACTGATGAATACTCCTGACGTGGTAACTATGAATCATTAATGTTTAGTTAAGGCAAACAGCCCTAGCCTTTGTTATTTTTTGTAATCTTTTCTAGTCTGTTGCTACGCTCTGTACTGAATAAAGGTCCTGCTTATTTCTAACTTATTTCTAACTTGTCTTTGATGTTGTAACTTGGATTCCAAGTCTGAGTCTAGTGTCTAAACGCTCACCATAAATGCTACCACTGGAGAGTAAAAGTGTGCATCTCTGAAGTGAGTTGCTAAGGTGTTCTGTCCCAGATGCTAACTAAGGGTTTGAAAAGAGGTTCTGGTGGCACATTGTTCTGAAACCAGAGAGGGTATAGACCAGTGATGGCAAACCTTTTAGAGACCGAGTGCCCAAACTGCGACCCAAAACCCACTTATTTATTGCAAAGTGCCAACACAGCAATTTAACCTGAATACTGAGGTTTTAGTTTAGAAAAAACAACTCATACATTAACTTAAGATGATCCAAACAAAGTAAGGAAAGCAATCCCAAATGCTTCCATTTACTTAAAATTATTTGGTAGAGAATTCAACACTTTAATGATGGTCTAGACCTGGCTGGGGCGATGGCACGCGTGCCCACAGAGAGGGCTCTGAGTGCCACCTCTGGCACCCGTGCCATAGGTTCGCCACCACTGGTATAGACCATCTCGTGGTTTGTTGTTTAAAGTACTGAAAAAGTACAGGATTCCCTCCCATCCCTGGACTGGCCTGGGTGGGCTAATCCTGTACAGGGCTGATATGTGGAAGTGTGTGTAACTCTGCCAAAGGTTAGAACGGTAGCATTAGCACTTTCAATTATATAATTAAGTCTGAATTTTTTTCTCTTCACGTCAAACACTTACTCACTCCTATATGAAAGTGAACCACTATCCAACCCTTTAACAGTAATTTCTGGTGGGTTTTTTCTGTTCAAGAGATTTGTTTGAATTTTTGAATGCAAACAGGAAGAGACCAATATATACAAAAATCTGCTTACTGTGTTAGCCATGTGGAAATATACTTAGGAACATTTTATTAATATGGCAACAGAGAAGCATATGGAAACTTCTCATGACTTCTGAATCACATACATGTTTTAGGCAGGACTTCGGAAAGCTCTGCAGAGGTCACTGACATTTATGAAAGTAAACAGAAGATTATATACATTCAGTCCTCATTTAAAAGCATGTGTTTGTGCCACTGTTGACACCTATATAAGTTTTAAGACCCCAATGGAATGTTCAGGCTAATACAACACATCCAAAAGGGATTAATACCCTCCAGAATGTTTCTTTCTTAAATGCTGGGCATCCAAAGAGCACATTTAAACCCTCTACTTTCCAACGTTTGTGCCAGAGGTTGGGGGCAATATCAGCATGAATGTCATTAACCATCATGTCCATTATACCATAGTTCTTCACCAGCAATTCCTGTGTCTGATGAATTTCATGCCCTTTGCTCACTTTCAGGGCAACTGGCATGTTTAAGACATCCCTCTGGAAAATACACATTCCATATTTCTTTAAAAACAGATCCATCCATCATTTTTTTCACAGTGGCCTTTTCAGTCTACTCTCCCTCCCCACTAACCACTATAACATGAGAAGTTTTTCCTGGTGGTATAGTCTGCATAGTCAGAAAGATATTTCAGTGCATAGAAAAGCCTGAAAAAACAGGTACTGCATCAAGCCATAAGACTATATAAAGAAACATTTCTTTACTCATGCAAAAGAAGTTAGCCCCAAGGTTTACTGTAATTCCTTTTATGTAAAAAGGAAGCCTTTCAATTCTTGTGATTATTTGGCTACCATGGAGCAGTAGAAAAGAGCAAGAGTCCAGTAGCATCTTAAAGACTCACAAAATTTGTGGCAGGGTATAAGCTTTCATGAGTCACTGCTCACTTCTTCAGGTATCTTCAGATATCTGAAGAAGTCACCAGTGACTCACAAAAGCTCATACCCCGCTACAAATTTTGTTAGTCTTTAAGGTACTACTGGACTCTTGCTCTTTCCTACTGCTGCAGACAGACTAACCCGGCTACCCATCTTGGCTATTACAGACATTCTTTCTGAGATTACAACTGCTTCAGATACAACAGGGATTTGGCAACATCATATTACAAACAGTGCTTTCGTTAGAGCAAAAGTAGTTAGACTGGGCTATCAATGCACTTGACTACAGCAGAGCCTTTAAAATTCTAATACAAATAGCCATTGGCATAAAAATCCATACAATCAGTCTTTAAATATATTTTGCAGTTACTGAGATGTAATTAAAAGGCACAAGAAAGAAGAAAGGAGCAATATTTGGCATGGAGTTTAAAAATGAAAAAAAAATAGTATTTATATAAAAAGTACGAACCTTATAACCCCAGAATTTTTTTAAAAAACCTGTGCTGTAGAAAAACTGGATTCAGCAGTGTTTAGGCATTTTCTGATAGTGGAACAATTAAGGCTTGTGTGACTCTCCTATCTTTACATTAAAAACAAATACATTTTACAAACAGAGAAATACTAGAAGACAAAACATTTGCTGCCCCTCCATGATCTGACAAAGAATATACAATACAAACAAGATACTGTATTAGCAAAGGACCTGCTGCAAACAAGAAGAGAACAGAAACTTAAAGGTTTGCAGTTTGCTAGACTTGTAGGGATTTCAGAGGTATGTTTGGCTTGATCCATTTGTTAACAGCTCCCTGGAATTACAGCTGGCTTCATCTTGTGCAAGGAGAATTTCTTCCATTTGTAATTAAGGCATCTAGATATATACAGGAGCTGTAATGTATAGCAGCTGTAGCAGCTGCTATAGTGTTTAGCAACTGTAGTGTATAAACAGCATTGCCAGAGTTGGTTTTGATATTTCAGTTGTTTTCAAATTTGGCATATGGGTTCTCTTCTTTAAACAGACCTGAAAAATATAAAAAGTTAGGTCAGAAGAAACATTAACGATTAAGGGTAAGGGTTAAATATCCCAACAAAAATAAAAGGAAAGCAACATTTCCTTTCTTGCAATGTATTTATGACACCTATTTTTACAGTTATGTTACAGTACATAGCGCTTCTTAGCACTCTGGCTTACTCAACTGGTTATCCCTCCAGTAACTTAGAACAGTTAATCTCATACTTAAGAGGCCAAGGGAAACAGAGACTTAATAACAGCTTATCAAAATTGCCAGGACAACAGTTCTTGTTCAAGCAAAATCCCAGTCAAATGACTGGTTCAGGGAATATGAACTGCTGTTAGCTCAAATGTAGAACACAGAGTACCTTCAGTATTTGTGTAAGAACCCAAGAGTAGAAGTACCAATTTCTACTTTAACTTGGGCCTGGTCTAGATATACAGTGGAGTGAAGGGCTAATGCAGCAGTGGGGTGCTCAGGACTGTGGCAGCAGACTGCAAGAGAGGGGTTAGATTTTCCATAGCTCATCTGCATTAATAACATCCTGTCAATGGAAAACTAACAAAGCTTTCGGATGGCTAGACTAGATCTTCTTCCTCTGACATACAGATGTTTTAATTGGCAGGAAAATTTTACATGGGGCAGCATTAGAAATGTGGCTTTGCCCTCCAACTGGCTGAAGTGGTACAAGCCCATTCCAACACCTCTTTCAACTACATGTGTAGGCCAAGCCTTGGTGACATTCAACCACAGGGAGCTGCCAAGGCCAAGATTTTTGTGAAGTCAAAACTGGTAGACCGGGTCTTCCCCTTTGCTGAGGGGATGGGTACAATTCTAGTGAAAAAGGTGTTGCCCAAATCCTGCTCCAGATGTAGGATTTTTGTGAAGCCACCTCTACTTTTTAGGCAGACACTGGAAAACAAAGAGTAGGTAGTATGGTAAAACTAATTACCATATTTCTTCCGGATTTCATCATGTCTAGATTTCATCTCTGCTCTCCTGCAAGATATACAAAGCATGTCAAGCAGTTATTAAAATCCAGAAAAATTTACTGCACATATTTTTCTCCTCCAAGTAGGAATTATGTTAATGCTAGTAAAGAGCTACCTATGTAGTTTTTACACTGTGCCTTTTCACTCACCCCAATAAGAAAATACCTTCAAGGCAGTTTACAGTTCCAGACACATAGAATGCACTGAACAAATACTAAATCACAATAAAGGAATTACATACAAGACAACACAGCAATGCTCTAAATCTGCTATTTCAGAGATCTTCTGTGAAGAGGCCAGAAGAGAGGCCTTTGGCTGGTAGCAACTCACCTCTCTTCCTGTTTTACTCTTCTTTGCTCCTTCTCCCTGGCAGCTTTTTCTTCATCCTTATCTGGTCTGCTCAAAAATAAGAAAAATTGGGGCATACATGAATATGCATGGAACCTAATCTTTAACTTTTATTTATTGTCATAAATTCTGATCATATATTACTTGTATTTTTAATCTTTATAATGTTGTAAATCACCCAGAACCTGCCTGCTGGGTGGGTGATTCCTAAGTTTAATAAAATAAATAAATTAAAGAATAAAACAACCTGAGGAGATCAAAACACTTATTTCCATTTATGCCAAATACCCTACACAAATTCAGATACTTGCTTTTTGCTCTTTTTCTTCCTGCAGCAGCAGCAACAGCAAACACACAGAGCAATAATGATGCCTCCTCCCACAACAGACATTGTAATAATCAGAGCTTCAAAATTCACTGAAACAACATAAGAGGGCAAGTGAGCCATTTTCAAAACAACAGCAACAACAAAACCCCATCTCTAAAAATTTAAAACCTAAGCACTATTCTAAGCAATTTCAAAACATAAATTATTTTCACATGTAATGTACCACAAGTAATATGTCTAGCAGTTAAACCATAACAGTCAGTGCAACAGCTTCATACCCCTAAGCCATATATTGAGGTGGGCAACAAATAGCCACTGAGGCATTTGTCATGAGGATCCATTGCTAAAATGGCTCTAAATAAAAAATTATTCCTCCCCCATGCATTTATGCATTGATAGCCATCCTCTTCATCAGCAGATAAAAATGCTCAAAAAATATCCTTCATTTACCAGATGAAGAGAACAAGTGTGAGACAACTATAGCTATTATGCCCCAACTGTAGGTCTCCTAGACTAATCTGACTAACAAAAGGGATTCCTGTGACCTCCCTTCTGTGTTCACCCAAAGGACTTCACTGATATCACAGTTTATAACTATTTGTGGAACACAGACAAGAATTTCAAGTGGGTGTGTCACAGATAATCCCTTTACTCATCAATTTGTAATAGATATTACAAGCTTGCTACAGCATGTCTTGAAGGGCAAGATGCACAGATTGCATCCAATAAATGGACTAGAAATTGTTTAAATACAGCAGTGGCAACAACATTCTTAGAGTATTTTTGAAGTCACTCACCACCACAGACACCCCAGCGTGCAGAACTCAGTGCGCAAAGAGAGCTGGGAGGAAGGATATTCCTAACAGGATAATCTATGCACTTCTTGTTACTGGTGCACCATAAACACTGGGGGGGAGGAGAGAAAATAAAATGTAAATAAAACAACTGCAGAAACCAGCTAAAGTGCAGAAAGATAAGCAGTGCTTTTTTGCTCAACTACATTCTAATATTATATGGAGGAAATACTGAAGGCCATTGCCAAAAGCATCTATAAGAGCACTGCTCCCACTTTTACCACTGAACACCTATATTGAGGCTTTAGCTACCCTCATTATTTATTAACTTATTTTATTTATTTGTTAAAACATTTATATCCTGCATTTCCTCTTGGTTCAAGGCGGCTATGAAACAACTGGTATTCAAGTGGCTTCCATTTCAACTCCCATCTGTTTGAAAACAGGTAGAAGTTAATTAGCCATACCTGCCTAAAAACAAGCCAATTTCAGAAATAAAAATGTAGGGGGATATCAGTAATTTGTTCAAAGAGCCTTAATATGAAAGCCATTTTTACAAGCGGGAGAGAAATGTCAGTGACAATCCTGCACATTCCTGGGGATGTTCCATTAAATTCCCAAGAACTGGACTGCACATTCTCCAGGTTAATTTAGAGAAATCAGAAATAAAATCAAAAGAAATTAGATAATAACAAGTGGGAACCCACAAGAACGTGTGGAAGACATCTCTTTGCCACCTCTACCACTATTTCCTCTTTCCCATTTCTGAAAGCCCCACATCCTCTCCCCCTTTCCTGCTTCCTTCTATCCTTCTAGGGCTGCCAACCTCCACATGGAGATCTCCTGGAATAACAACAGATCTCCTAAGTACAGAGATCATTCCCCTTCGGATTGCCAGCTCCAAGTTGGGAAATTCTTGGAGATTTGGGGGCAAAGTCTCGGCAAGGCGAGGTTTGGGGAGGGAAGCAACCTCAGCAGGGTATACAGACATAGAGTCCACCCTCCAAAGCAGCCATTTTCTCCCAGGGAATCTCTGTCATCTGGAGAGCATCTGTAACTCTGGGTGATCTCCAGCCCCCACCTGGAGGTTGGCAACTCTAATTTCTCTGGAGAAAATGGTTCCTTTGGAATGTGAAGTCTATGGCATTATACCCCTCTGAGATCCCTTCCCACCTCAAACCCCACCCTCCCCAGGCTCCACCCCCAAATCTCCAGGAATTTCCTAACCTGAGTTGGCAATCTTATCTCCTTCCCATCCAACAGCCAATCTACCTTTATCTGCCACTGTGTCGTACGCTCCCCCACCCCCTCCAGCAGCCTCTGCCTTGGAAAACTGTGGCCCAGTTGTACAGTGGCCCATTCTCAGCCATTCACCAACCTATATTTTATCTGCTTCCTATCTTCAGCTACATTTATTACTTATTTACTTCATTTATACCCCACCTTTCTCCACAGTGGGAACCAAAGTAGCTTACATTATCCTTCTCTCTTCCTTTTTGTCTGCATAGGATAGGGTGAAAGTATGTGACTTGTCCAAAATCACTCACTGAGCTTCCAAAGCAAGATGTACAAAAGGCAAAATGCCATAAAACAAATACAAATTTTAAAATATCCATTTACAGTCAATAAAAATAAAACCAGAAGATCCGAGATGGTGATTTATAAGTTTCTGTTCCCATTCTGGACTGCCTGGCCATTTGGTGGGAGGGGGAGAGGGAAACTTAAGCAAAATATATATTGGGGGGAGGGGAGAAGGGTGCCAGCCAGTGCAACCAACCACTGCTACCCTCAACCAAAAGCCTAGCAGAGCATCTCTGCCTTACAGGCCCTGCAGAATTGCACAAGGTCCCGCAGGGCCCTGGTGTCATTCGGCAGAGAGTCCCACCAGGTTGGGGCCAGGTCTAAAAAGACCCTGGCCCTGGTCAAGGACATCCAGACATTCCTAGGGCCAGGGATCACCAGCAAGTTGTTATCAGTGGAGCGCAAGGTTCTCCTGCGGACATAATGGAGAAGGCAGTCCCATAGGTACATTGGTCCCAGACTGCTCAAGGCCTCAAAGGTCAATACCAAAACCCTGAACCTGACCTGGTACTCTACTGAAAGCTGGTACAGCACTGGTTAAATATGTGCCGTCTGTGATGTTCCCGTCAGGACTCACGCTGCCGCATTCTGAACCAGCTGAAGTTTCCAGATCAGTCTCAAGGGTACGCCAGCGTAGAGAAGGTTGCAGTAGTCTAGCCTGGAGGTGACTGTTGCATGGATTACTGTGGCTAGGTCGCGGCATGACAAGAAAGGAGCCAGTTTCCAGGCTTGACAAAGGTGGGGAAATGCCAGCCTGGTAATATGCGTGATTTGGGCCTCCATCCAAATCCCTGGGAGGTATCCAAAGTCACACCCAAACTTTTGACAGACAGCGCTGGTGTCAGTGGTGCCTCATCACGGGTTGGTAACCTGAATTCCAATACCGAACCACCACCACCCCCTGCCACAGAACCTCTGTCTTTGATGGATTTGGTCTCAGCCTGCTCTTTTTAAGCCATTCCACCATGGCCTCCAGTCTCTCAGCCAGATTTGGCAGGGCAGTGGTCAGCTGGCTATCCAATAAGAGCTACAGCTGGGTGTCATCAGCATATTGATGGCACCCAAGCCTGAAACTCCTTGCCAGCTGGGCGAGGGGGTGCATATAGATGTTAAATAACATCGGGGAAAGGAGTGCCCCCGAGGAACCCCAAATAATAAGAGTTGCCTCGAGGACACCCATCTTCACCCAATGCCCCCTTCTGTCCCCAAACCTGAAGAAATGAGGAAAACCATTGAAGGGCCACCCCACATACTCCTACATCGGTGAGGCGGTGAGTCAAAAGATCATGATTGACTGTGTCAAACACTGCTGTGAGATCAAGCAGTGCCGACCAGTGTTCCCTCTAAACTGAGTTAGTTTGAGCTAGCTCACAGTTTTTTTAGCCTCCGGCTCACACATTTTTGCCTTAGCTCAGGAAGGACGGCTCCAGAGCAAACTAATTGATGCAGCAGCCAAATCACTTGCTCACAACTTCAATGCCAGTAGCTCACAAAGTAGAATTTTTGCTCCCAAGACTCCACAGCTTAGGGCCGACCCGCCTCGATCCAGCTATCTACGGAGATCGTCTGTCAAGGTGACCAGCACAGTCTCCATCCCATGACTGGGGCAGAAGCCAGACTGGAATGGATCCAATACCAATGTGTCACCCAGAAAGCCCTGGAGCTGCTCAGCTACCGCTCTCTCAATCACCTTACCCGGAAATGGTAAATTTGAAACTGGGCGGTAATTGGCTGTCTCTAAAGGATCCAATGATAAGATTGTGTTCTAGAATCATCTAGCTGGTAACTAATAGAAACTGGATACTGGACTGTATTTACCATGGGTTGATCCCATAAGGCAGTTCTTAGGACAAGTGAACAAAGGAGCAGTATGCCAAAAGGTCAAAAACAGATCCCAAATATTCAAAGAGGAATAAACTTATTTTTAGAGTTTTACGATTGTGCAACCTGTAAGTTGCACAACTTTCCAAAGAGTTGCAACACTTTCCAAAGAAATGACAATGTGTTTGGCACCACTCAAAACATATTCAAATTGCTACAACAAAAGCTTCTTTATACATTCATACCTGGACAACGTCTTCAGTACAGGAAGTTTCCTGTTTAAGCTGCATAAATATTTTGCACTGGGAGCTGGGGAGCCAGCTGTTGGTACCTGTCTTATACTGGCATTTAATATTTGCTGGAATAAGGCAGTTTGTTTTGTATTCACTTGATTATATTAGAAGTTGAACACATGCAAGAAATGTTATAAATCTCTGCAAGATTTTAAGATCCCAACAGACAGCTCTGTTGAGAGCTCAGTGGGAACCTGGAATGAGAAGCTCCTGGAAGCTATGGACATAACTGCCCCTCCATCAATGCCTCCAACCCTCGAGATGGTCTCCAGCACCCTGGTTTACTATGGAACTGGGATTGGGCGATTAATAAATCCAATATATAAATAAATAAATGTCACACTAAAATGAGCAGAAAATGCTCAGCAGTATTGTTTGCTAGATTGTCTCATCTATTCCTGATCCATAAACAAAAATGTTTCAGATGGTTTGCTGCCAAGAGATTGGCTCTCACACATTTTACACTTATGAATCTCCAAAAACAAACCTAATTTGCTTTTAGATCAATTCAAATAAAAAAAATAAAACTGTTAGAAATATACAGTAGAGAGTTCGATAAAGGAGATCCTGCCCAAGCCAGTAAGAAGGATGTGCCAACTTTGAAATGCATGACTTTAAAGTGTCTCTACACTGAAAATATCAGTCCTTAATTAATTCACATACTACATTTATTTTTGTTTCTCAGTGCCTGCACTGAATAAATGTTGTTGGAAACAGAATTAAAATGTTCATTGCTTTCTGGTTCAGCACAGACAACTCTCTTCTATACTAAATCAGGCAGAACGCTTGAATAACGTTTCACAGTGTACTCTGAATAGAGATGAAGTTTTCAATGATGCTGAAAATGCCATATGACTGGAGATCCTTTCAGTACTAAAATATCAAAAGACAATGTTGATTTCAAAAATATCCCATGTTCCAGTTTTTTACAGAGAAAGTAATTGGATGCACTTTATTTATTTCATTAGATTTTTACCCCGCCCTCCCAGCAAAGACTGTCAACTCATGACAGTCGAGTGTCTTCAGACACACAAAAAATCCTGTTGCATATGGGGCCTGGAGGCATTTTGAAGAAACTCTCACTTAATGCAGGAACATGAGTTTCAGACCCCTGTAAGTATTGAAAACATCCATATTCTCAGACATACTACATAAACAAAGCAGATTATTATTTTTGTTTAAAAACATGTGAATTAGATTTTTAGGGCTTCAATAAATATTTAAAGAGCCTGATTTAAAATAAAAACTGATTATTGTGGGCATCCTTCTTAAACCAGAGACTAACAAGGTGGCATGGGCACTAGAAGACAGAAATGCATATTTAACTGCAAACTAATATGTTCAACTTGTTATAGGAAAACAAGTTTTCTCCTTACTGCTGCTTAAGTACCTTGGCCAACAGGCCATTGATTAGTGC